ACCATGGTAGCCAGTTCTTTTCTAGTTTGACTTATTTTAATTCTGAATTCCCAGTGTTCTGTGGTTCCTCCAAATCTGAATGTGAACCCAGTCATTGTTCTGTTGGGTTAATAACAGCTAATGTCAACAACCTGCTTGTTGCACTCTTTGTTTAAGGAACAAACTAGACATGCAAATATTTTACATACTGGTGTTTCATCTGCTTCTCCTTTATGCAGTCACCTCTTCACATTGATACTACTACAATCTTTAAATGCAAAGCTTAAAAGGACATTACAAGAAAAACAGCAAATCTCAATGAAAAGTATTTATAGAGAATAATTATTTTGTTGTGTTACAGAATCTTGGGGATAGCAGTTATTTGGGGTGTGCAAAGTTTTCAGCGAATCATGGAAAGATATAATTTTCTGTCTTAATGGTCAGATGAGGCACATAGGAAGCAATATGGAAAGCCCCAGTGAATCTAACCATCTCATGCATTAACTTTGCAACATCAACACCTATTCTTAGTGAGTGTTGACTTATATCTGCAAATTGTACTGTTATCTAGTAAATTATTTTCAGGAAACAAAATCCTTATTGATTGAATAGTTAAAACACAATTCAGTAAGTAGGGCATTCTGTGCACAGTAGATACAGCTCAACAGAACACCAGAAGACAATGGTTTATCCTATGTGATAAAATCAGTCATGTTTCACTGTTTGCAAAGGGTCTCATGGTCTACAGCAAAAATTATTGTAGTCTTGATACTAAAACTTTTCCATATAAATATATCAAGAGCAATTAGTATTTCTGGTCACAATAGAGATAAAAATAGGTTTTTACATAAATAGTTCAATCTGGGAGGAGTGTATTTAATCATCTCAAACATACAAAATACTACTATTTCTCTTAAACATCTTTTACTTATTTTTTTTTCAGCCACTCGTTTTTACTACTCAAATGTTTTCATTAAGTAAATCATTAAGGCTTAGCTGGGTCCTTAACTGAATGATTTTCTCTGTCTCTTTAGCATAGCATTATGATACTACCAAATCAAAGTTCTTTTAGTTACATGATAGACATGATGAAAGGAAAATAATGATTTAATGGCATTTTGATGGAATACAATTAAGTGCATTTTGATCAAATGAGGATGCATTTTGATCAATTATGCAATGCCACACTGTTCAAATACATATTTTTTGATTAACTGTTAGTGGTAGATGATAAGTAGTTATCTTAATCTTAACTGACAGATTATTGGATAAATATTAATCTTTTAATGAAAGAAAATTCGTAGCTAACAGAATATCTAGGAAATAACATTTTATTTAATCAGCTCCTTTTCCCATATAAAATATTAAAGTCATTTTCTCTTAAATATTAGGTCCTTACAGCAGGTTCAGATAAGTTGCAACCTGAGCTATGTCTTTGAGTAATGATTAAATGATGGATCATGGAATTTTGAAACATTATTTGAGAATTTATTGCCTACTAAGACTTAAAATACAAAGGAGTTCCCTTTTTGGACAACTCAATATCTTTGTTTCCTATGCTTTGATGTCTTTTTCACTAACTAAATTATTTTATTTTCAGGTTTTTAAATCTACTTGTTGACAGCAGTACACTTTTAGTCTAAAAATTACAAGCATTAAAACCAACTAGGTCATCTCAGAAAAACTGTAATTGTTATAAGACCAAGTTGTAACACAAGGTCTCACTTTCTTTACATTTAACAAAGAGGCTGAATGGTTTCTTAGGCCCTACCAATCTGACTTTCTAACTACTTGCAATTAAACTGGTTGATACTATCACATCTATTATGACAAAAACCAGACAAATTCTGATCAAGAATAATATCAAGTAGTCTTTTTGAAGAGGTAGAAAGAAATTGATTTGTGTTCAATGTTTTGATTTTATGTTCCTTTAGTGTAATAATCCCTGGCTGTTTGGACATCTCATTCTGGAATAAATTATATTCTGTATTATAGGTAGTAGAGTTGGCATGGGAATGGAATTTTGAGAGTTCTTTATTGAGCCTGGGAACTTTGAAAATAATAAACACTACAGGAGAACAAGCACAGTTGTGAATATCAATAAAATATCACAGCCAAATAGCTCAAATACATTTGCTCTAATATAAACCCTGAGTCAGTATTGATCATTTGTGAGATCCCTGCGGTAGCTAGCATGTGCACACACCACAAAGCTACATGAAGGTACATGATTGGCTCTGCTTCCTTCCACGACTTCCCTGGCATTTGTCCTAACATTAGTTACTGAACTGACCGTGTATGAATATGGTGAGTTTTACAAGTGAAGTACCAGCAACACAGGGTGGCCTGAGAAATAAAACAATAATTGTAGAGAAAAATGCGTTCAGAAGCCAGTGATCATTCCTGGACCTTTGGACTAAAATCAAACATAGGACACCCAGTGAGGAGCAAATAAAAACCCCAAATGAATCAGTTGCTGTTTTCTTTTAGAAAGACTGTGCACTAGACACATACTGGTGTCTTTCATAATCAGTGTACTTAACAACTGTGCTGTCAAGCCCACTAGTCAACACTGACTCTTTTTTCCTAGATGCATATATTGGTAAGTCCCTGAATGCGTCCCTGAAATGAGGAGTTTATTATATACCTAAATTACAGCTTCATGCTGCATTGACCTACATTAGTCCATGCCATTTCACAAGTTAGTAGAGGGCATCTAGAACACTGGACTGTATTTTAAATACTGAGAAACTTACAGTACCTCACAAGCAGAGAGAAGTTTCTGTGTGTGGATGGGTAGTATGAGGGGGTGTTGTGTAAGACACAGAAGGATTGTATTTTCTCAGAATGTTCTGCTGTTCTAATGAATTTTGTATATGACTCTGAGAGAGAATGCTCACACATTAGCTGAAAGTTGTGATTTTCCCTCTTTAATCTCTTTCATAGGTTTAGCAGATGTGTTGATGTAATTTTTATAAGAAATAAATGACCTAATTCTTGTGCAATTTTAGGTTAAATTTTTTTTTCTCAATCTAATTATCATTTGCTTGCCTTCTTATTTAAAATATTCTGGTTATCTGACAGTTTCCTTTTGTTTATCAGGAGATTTAACCTGTTCTCTTTAGGATATTAGCTGTAATTTTGCAAGGAGTAAGTCCGTAAGATATCATTTTGAGTGAAAATGCATACTTTACTGACTTAAGAAATGTCACAGCTACTGATAGAAAATCTCCCCAAATGTTACCACACTAAGATTCTAAGGTTTTCTTTCCATTTAACAGCTTGCATTTTACAGTAAAACACAGAATCAAGATTAGTTGTCCTCTTGAGTCATTCTGTCTGTAATGAGTAGGGTTTGTTTTTGTTTGTTTGCTTGTTTGTTTTGGCTTGATAGGATAGTCAAGTGTTTTCAGACAGATTTCTCTTATTTTTAATAAGAAAAAGTTTAGTAGTATGTTTTCATTAGCTTGCCATAGGCATTTTTGAAAAGTTTTATGCAGAATTGAGTTTACAATGAAAATATTAATGTGAGACATGCCTACATCCTTGTTAACTAGTAATTGAATCTTTATGAGAGAAATGTCAAGACTTTTAAATATATTTCCTAATATTTGAAATAAGGGATTTTACAAATATAAAAAAATCATTGTCCAAAACTTTCTCATCCTAATGAACTTGTTTTAAAACTCCAACTATAAAAACCTTTTCCTGGAATAAACTTTAAATATGCACACCTCAAAAATAAGGTTAGAATAATTCCATATGGATTCCTTCCAATGGGGTTTTCAAATGAGACAATAAAAAGCTAACCTGATTTCAAAAAAGTTCTCTCTTGTAGAAACAAAAGTATTTGCATAGTTTTTACTATAGTTCTAATGGTCTGATCATTTTTCCCTTTGAAGGTTAATGCCTTTTATTAAAGGACTGGCTGTCTGGTCCTTTGGAATGCTATTTGCTTTTTATTAAGTGTGAAAGTTGTACTGTTTATAACACACATCTGTATTTTGGTGAGCTTTCCTGGAGACTCTCCAGTTCTAGTGATGCGCTCCTGAGTAAGTGGAGGCATCACATACCTATCTAAAGGTGATAGAGAGCTTTGCTAGACTTTTGGTTTCTGTTCAGTGTGATCTAGCTCTAGTGATGCGCTCCTGAGTGGGTGGAGTCATCACCTGTCTAGCTAAAGGACCACGGCACAGAGTTTTGCTCCACCTTTGGTTTCTGTTCAGTGTAATTCATCCAAAGCATAAGAGCCACATGACAGCCCCAAGTTACAGAACAGACATGCCACAGTACGAGAGAACCTTGAAAGACATAGTGATGACTGTAGCCACTTAGGGAAGCCAGTGCAATGATTGAGGTGAAGACAGTTAGAAGTTTTAAAACTACCTACTAAGTGGTATGGCAGGTGTTGGAACTAATGTTGACAGTGAGACATTGTTAGCTGGTAGCCTCGTTTACCAGCTACTCAACGTCACTTTGTACATTTATACTTTGTACATTTATAATCAAAACGTCTTTTCATTTCGCAGCTTAGCTGAGTGTCCCCAAAAAGGATGCATGAGGGACAAACCTCAGTGACAAAAATGCTGATTACAAAGGAAAAACTATTATCAGACAAGTGATGTTAATTGGAATTTGAGGGAGTTGATCCTGTAGACTTAATTTAAATATGTTCATCAATGTTTATACAGAACCGTGTGTGCAGTTGGAAATGACACATTTTACTATTCCATACAACACAGGCATAAACTGATTTTACACACATGTGGATTCTCTTATTTCTTTGCTTAAGCAAAGAATGAAAACATATTAAAACATGATGCTAATGGATGACATGAAATATAAAACACCTTATATAACTAAGGACTATTAGTACTCAGATAAAATGTATTGATATGCTCAAAGTTAAAAACAAAAAAATAAACCAAGAGGTAAAACAAAAAGAAATTATGCATCAAGTTATTCATTAATATGGGTATATTTTAAATGCAGAAATCAAATGCTCTCTCTGTGTGTGTGTTTCTGGTTTGATGAGCTTGTGAATTTAGGTTTTTCTGTGACATGGTCTTACTTGTAGGTTTTATGGTGTGGATGGTGGTCTTGGAGAAGAGCAGGATCCTTGACTATCAAAGCTGGTTGCCCGGCCAGGTAGCTGAAACATAGGAATTTCATATCTGACTCAAAGAAAAAGCACATAATTGCAAGCTTGTTTCTCCATTAATTGTGGATGTTCATACACAATTTGTAAATCCCTGAAGAGATTTCTGTAACCATATTCTTCATAACTTACCTTCTGAGGCACAGAGAGAAAACACAAATATTTCCTATAACACACAGAGCTTGGAATATAAAAGGTACACCGAATATCTCATGGCAACTTTTAGGCTTTAGAAGGGTTCCACACTTTATGGATAAGAGCAAGAAGTTGTAGACATCAGAGACATATGCTAGTTTGAATAAGAAATGGTGCCCATAGGCTCACATATTTGAGGACTGTCTGGGAAGCTTCTGGGACCTTTGGAAGGGATAGCCTTGTTGGGAGGGCTTTGAGGCTTGACAGCCTCAGTGCCCCTCTTCTGGTTTGTTCTGTCTCTTGTGTGTGGATAAAAATGGGCTCTCTCTGCTTCCTGCTCTAGTCCCCTGCTGCTATGTTTCTCTACCACATGGACATTCCCCCTGGAACCATAAGTCAAAAAGAAGCTCTTTCTGCCAGAGGTCACTTTTTGTCTAGGTGTTTTATCACAGCAACAACCTGTAACTAATTCAAGGCCGTATTCCCTTTGCTTTGAAGCAGAAAGTGATTTTCATCTGGGGAATTAATAAACTGAAAAGGTCAGCGTGTCAGGTGGCAACCCCAAGTGACAAGAGTACTCCTCATGACCCTTATATGTCTATTTTGAGAGTTTAATGAAGTTTGATTAATGAAGTTGAAGTAAGTAGATTTTTCTGAATGAGGCTTTCACCTCTGCCTACCAATTTACTCAGCTCTTGAATAACTAGTACTTTCTCATTTATTCCTTCTCTAACAAGAAAAATATAATTTCACTCTTAATTTTTCTGTAATGCTAAATTTAGGCTGGGCATATTCCTGTGGTCCATATAATCTGTCCGCTGAATGGAGACATAGGGGATGAGAAAAAGAGGAAAGTACATTCATCTTTTAATACCAGTTGCCCCTGATCCAGTTACCAGAAGACTCTCTGTGACCTAATGCCATATTATATCCTGTGTTCCTAGAAAGGGGACTGAAAAGGGTTCTTTTATTCTTGGTCTTGATACAAACTACAGTTGTTCATCAGACAAACATAATTAGTATACTTCAGACTTCAGACTAGATGCTTTTCTTTATACGTGTTTAAATCTTGCTCATATGTTCTCACTTCTCCTGGCACCATCTCATCAGCATGGATGGGTACATAGCTTCTCCAAGATCAGAGGAACAGACACCAGAGTCCACACCTCCATTCAGTGTGGCTCCCTGTGTAGCAAAGTATTCTTTCCCTTTCTATGTTCTCAAGCTTACGCTCCTTTTCAAACTAAAAGAATGAGACCCAGGGAAAGGGGCACAATTATATAGCAAGCAGTGAAGCGTGTTTTAGACAGTACTTACCACTGAGACCAAATAAAATATACTTTAGTAAGTGTTGAGTTATCCAGCAAATACATCTGTCTCTACTGCAGAAAGTTTCAGGGAATACTCTGTGATGTGCATGTGTGTATGTGTGCATATATGTATTCTTGTGTAGATATGTGTATGTGTTTGCACCTATGTGTATATATGTGCATATTGGTATGTTTCTGCATATCTGCCTGTGTGTATGTGCTTATGTGTGTGTGTATGTGTCCATGTATTATATGCATGTGTGTGTGTGTGTGTGTGTCAGAGTATGTCTATTTATGTGTGTTCATGTGTTTGCAGATATTTGACTCTGTCTATATATGTGTGTATATCTGTATATGTGTGTGTGCATCTGCATGTCTGTGTGCTTATGTGTCTATGTATGTGTGTGTGTACATGTGTTTTTGTGTCTGTATATGTGTATATGTATGTCTGTGTATATATGTGTGGTGGTTTGAATGAAATTGGTCCCATAGGGTCATATATTTGAATGTTTGTTTCCAAGTGGGTGGACTGTTTAAGAAGAATTAGGAGGTGTGTCATAACTTTGAGGTTTCAAAACCCTACACCAGATTACCCCAGTCTCTCTCTGCTGTGTGCTTATGGATCAGAAGTAAGCTCTTAGCTACTGCTCCAGCATCTTGCCTACCTGTCTGCTTGTCTCCATGCTTCCCACAATGATAATCATGGACTAATCCTTTAACATAAGACCCTGTACACAAGACCCAATAAAACCACTGTACAAAAGACCCAATGTAACCCCCGTACATAAGACCCAGTGTAACCTCAATGAAATGTTTTCTTTTATAAGTTGTCTTGGTCATGGTATTTCTTCACAGCATATGTCTGTGTATTTATATGTCTGTGTAATATGCTCTGTAAATATGTAGGTCTGTGTATGTGTGGGTGTCTGTGGTTCTTTGTATGTGTGTCTGTGTATGTTTGTATGTGTGTCTGTATCTGTGTTGACTATGTGTATCTGTGTCTTATGATTTACATTAAACTATGAAGTCAAGCAAAATTTATACATTTAATGTATAAACAGGATCTATGATGGCAGTTTACTTTCAAGGCCTGAACATGATATGTTCACCCAGTTTCCACAAAATATCATGAATAACACAGCCATGTTCTCATTCTTGTAACTAAGCTGAGACTGAAACCCAGTCCTACTGACATATTCAGTCAATTACAATGTACAGTCTCTCCTATTTTAAAACCAAAGCTTATTGTAGAAAGCTTCAACTTACTCCTCAAAAAGTCTGTTAATTATTTGTGGTTATTTAAGTATTAATTTAATGGAAATTCACAAAGTCCATTATCCTTCTGTGAACACATTATGTCTCAGTTTACGATATGGCCCTTGGGGTTCCAGTAGCTGTCTTAATTGGAAAGAAAGGCATTCGGCCAAGCAATGCTTAGTATGTCCAGTAGACTAACTTTGACTAAAAGTTCTAAGCAAAAACAGGTACTCATCTTTACTAACAAAACTCAGGCATGGACACAGTTGCTAAGATCTGACATCAAGTCAATCTGTGCTACATTGTGTTATCCATCGTCATTATAAGTTACTTCCATTGAATAAGCATAGCAGAAACTCAGTCACTGTCACTTACCAAAGCTTTGCAATAAAAGCCACTCAGCATGGCCAGGCCATGAATGCAGCTAAGTTGGTGCCTTGATAGTTTAAATTTCTGTATGTTCTTTCTGACCAGAGTTGGATGGGATGGGATCTCTGTGTCCCTTACACAGATGTATCTGACAGCAGTGCTTTATGAAGGATTTATAAATGGAAAAGGACTTTTTCCACAGAGAAGCAGAACCAGAGCTCAGTTCCCACTGAGTAATGAACTTAACACAATGGCGCCTGGTCACTGACTTAAGCCTAAAGCTGTGCAAAAGAAATGATACACTCCTTTCACAGGCTTACTGAACAAGAAGCCTCAGACAGACATCTAGTGGATGTTTTTCAAATCCCTCAAGGCACATAGAACTTTGAATAGATGATGCTAGAGACAGAAACAAGAGCAAGAACAGTTTTTGAAAGGTGAAAAGTGAAATGTCAAATGAAAGTTAGCAGATAAGAAATATTTAAATAACAGCAATATAACCGAGGGAAGATGCAACATCCCATCCTTACCTCCAACAAGGGGTGCCAGTGTGTAATTGGTTTTCGATGGTAGGCAAGCATTTCATTCCAGTGGTCTCTCCCAAGACCCTCAGCATCTAGTCCAGTTCGACACACGCCTATGACCTCATTGTGTCCCACCCTAGGATTTGTGGAATATCATACTTTCACTGTTATAATTCAAAGTAAGTGAAATGTTCCACATTTTAGTATATTTTTAAACACATCATCAAAAGCAATAGATTCTGCAGACCCAGATTTTACTTGATGTACTTTCAGTGATCCATGGCCAATCACCATCTGGAAATATCAAATGAGAAGTTCTAGAAACAAATAACACATCAATATTAAGTAGTGCTTTATGCAGTATATTTGATGGGAGATGTCATTCTGTAAATATGTTTCTTGTATTGGTTAATGGATAAAGCACTGTTGGCCAAAAGAAAGCAAGATAGGCGGGACTAGGAGACAAGGATTCCAGAAGTAGTAGGGAGGAGATTCAACATGGAGGACAGAGACAGCAGACCGATGGCCCCCCTCTCTGGTAAGATAAGGCCACCCACGTAGAAATACTTAGATTAATAGAAATGGGTTAATATTTAAGACAGAGCTAGCCAATAAGAAACTAGTAACTGGGCAACAAGCATTTTATCTAATACAGTCTCTGTGTGTTATTTGGGGTCAGGCTGTGGGGTCAGGCTGCCCGGAAAAACTACTCTTAACATATATTGCTATAATTATCCTATTTTATTATTCATTGTTGGTCACTTCCTTTTTTGTATACAATTTATAAAGTAGGCTTTACGAAGATTTGTATATGTAAGAAGAACAGAATATATGGGACTCTCTACTGTCTTTGGTTTCCATTATCTATGGAATGTGATGGAACATATTTCCTACAGAGAAGGGATTGTTGGGTACCAGTTTTTGTTATGTACCAGTTTTGATTAAATGAAAATTCCTAAATAAAAATTAAAGGCCAAGTGTGGGGCATGGCTGAGAGGTGGAGGCAGGAGGGTCAGAAGTTTAAGTTATCTACAGAGAAATTTGAGGCCAGCCTGGGATACATGGTATCTTGTCTCAAAACAAACAAACAAACAAACAAATAAAAGAACAAACAAACAAGACACAGAGATTATGAACTAAATAACATCAACATACAAAACGAATTTATATAAAGCCTATTTAACTCTCTGCAATGTTGACAATGAAAACGCATGCATGAGGGACACCAGCAGACCCCTCACTTTTGCAATGGTGCTTTCTGGGAAGGAGGCCTACACAACCTGTACACTATAGAGAAAAATCCCACTCTTTTCGCAAGGCTTGTTCTGTAATGGTGTTCTGACTGTGTGCCAAGAGGATAGTGCTCACTTTCTTGCATAATAGTCTCTATTTTACTGACTGTAAATTATATGAGTAAGTATGCTGTTACTGGCAGTATAATTAAGTGGGGCAGGGTTATGTTTAGTACCACCACTGTGATTTATCATTGCATAACTAAGCATGCTGTTTGACATTATTATTTTCTACTTATGCCCCATTTTCACTGCAACCAATAAAAATGATGGCTAATATTTATTTTTACTTTTTTATTTTGACATTAAAATATAATTACACCATCTCTCCCTCCCTCTCCAAACAGTCCCATAGACTACTTTCTACTCTCTTTTACATTCATTAATTGCTATTGTATGCATATGGGTATATGTTCAGACATACCTATGTTCCTAAATGCAAGTTCTTCAGTCTGTAGAATGTTACTTGTATGTATGTTTCCAGGGCCAACCAGTTGACACTGAACAACCTATTGGTGTCTCCTTCCCCGAGGAGGACCAACTTTTCTGCTCTCAGCTTTCCTTAATTCACCTATAGTTCTCTGTGCAGGGCTGGAGCCTTGTAGGCTTTTCTCTATCCACTTTAGCATGGAAGTTGGTGTAATCACACACAAAGACACTCAAGTTGGTGATATTCCATGAGCATAGCTTATGACATTACTAGGAGACACAGTCTCACAGCAAGCTCCCTGGCCCTCTGGCAATTGTTATATTTCTACCTGCTCTTCTGCAATGTTCCATGAGCCTTAGGCATAGGAATGTTCTGTAGTTGTATCCACTGGGACTGGGGGTAACTAATTCTTTTGAGAGTCCACTATGTCCAAGTATTTTGAGTGTAATGACACAATCAATCCTAAACCCATGACTCTGACCCTGGATAACATTATTATTATCTCATTTCATAAACAGACTGGATGCCCAGTAGAATTCCCAAAAGACAATGGCAGAAGCTGGGTCCCATCAGGTGGGTCAAGACAACACTTGACAAGCTGGGTCTTTCTATTTAATCTTTTTGAGACTAAGTCTTATGCAGCCCATGCTGCACTCAGACTCACTATGTAGCTGATATGAGCCTCCTGAGTGTTAAAGTTACGTGTCTCTGTCATCACAACTTACTTCATAAGCTGTTTCTTGAAGTAGAATATAATTTGAAAGAATCTGAAAGACTTTCTATTAGAGCCACTTTGATAAGCATCTCTGAGGAGGCTTTGGGAGTGATTTTAGGATGCTCCAGTATGTTTTTCTGGTCTTCTTCTATGTAAATTCATCTCAATATGAAGTTTTTCATTAGGGATATTTGGAGAAATGACTTTTGTCTTCCTGATTTATATAGTATTAAGATCTATTTCCTTCAAATTGGGTAGATGACATGCTCAGCTGTATCCACCCAAACTCACTGCTTTGAGAGGTCAATAGGGGTAAGAGCTAAAGCAAAATAGGGCTGTCATGAAAACATTTACAACATTTTTAATATTTGAAATGTAGGATAATTCAAGAGTTTTCTACCACTGAAAAGTTATCATAGGTGTTTTTCCTTTAATATAAACTCAAATCGATCAGAACAATCATATTTATTTATTTTTATTTTTAGGGGCTGGCTTTGAGACATTGAATGGCAAATTACTACCACTCCTTATAGTTCAGTGTGTATTCTCTTAGGCATTTTATATTCATGTTCTACACAAGTAGTAGAGTTATCAACAAAACAATGTATAAAAGCGTTGAATAGATTGCCGTGCATCTTCTAATCCCATCATCACCCACATTCCACAGAATGTTAATAGCTTCCCAGTGTAGAAAGTGAATTCCAAAGAAATGCTGGCCCTCAAAGGCAGTTCATTCTAGAGCACCACTATCCTTGTGTGGTAGCCCCTCTAGTGAAGACAACTCTGGGTTGCGGTATTTGGTAATATGAACAAAGACTTCTCAATAGTTCCTTTGTGTGTCATGAGCTTCATGTTAAGAAAGACTACATTGGAGGTGAAACCAAGGCAAAACTATAACTGTAGATTCTTATGAATTATTGCCCCATTGTTTAAGTTTGATCTGCTGTAACAGTGAGTAACTTGGAAAGTAGATGTGACCTGGCTATGACAACTTGAAGGTCTGCATCAGGGCTAGCAGCCTTCACCCACCTGTCATAATCCATGACCGCAATGCACAGGCTGACTTGGTCTACATTCTCTGGAGGGATGTCGAAGATAATGGCTTCATTGTACACAGGATTAAGAGTATTTTTCTTTGTGGTTGTTTTCCGTTTTTTAAGTCTTCGGCCTTCACACATCAAAGACACTTTAACATAAGGATCTGTGAGAAGGGAGGTAGTTTTATTAAAGTTAACATCCCTGCTCTGAATGAAATACTACATTTCATTCTTACTAAATAAGAAAGTGTGTATGAGCCCTTCAGCATGAATCATTTTAAAATTAATCTACTTGCTTTGGGAGAACAGATTCTTGATCTTATTTTTGTCTATGCCTATAGTCATAACTTTTACTTCCTTAGAATCAGATTTTAATTTGTTGATCAAGTATGCACATTTTAAACACTAGAAAAATGTATCTATATATTTCAAGGAACAAAAGCTATTTTTGAATGGGAATTATGTGCATACTGGTACATGTAAGAGGGAGATGTTAATATCTAACTGTCCTACAAACCTTTTTTTAAAAACCCTTGGAAGACTATTCAGAGGGAGACATCCTTTGAGTGAGCGACAGCATCTTAATAAGGGAATGAGACCTTGTGCCCTTTGCTCCCCTATTATATCTCTGATGACATTCTTTGCTTCTCACAAGATCAATGGCTCTTTGGTTGATGCATATGCCCACTGTGAGGTAGAATGAGAAAGCACTCTCAAACACAGACACTTATGAGGAAAAGCTTCACATAACTGAGGAGTAACTCCAAATTTTGTACCAACTCTAACACTGTTCTGCTTGGCCCAAAATGTACAATAAAAACATAGAATGAACATAGGTGCTTTGTTGATGTTCAACAATATATATTGACCTGGTGGTTTTTACCAAAATACATTTAATTGTTCCTCTACCTCTTTCTTCATATTATAATTTGCAAATTTTAAAAAGAAATAGGTAGTTCATTATATGCTCCCCAGATTAAGATATCAGTGGTATATGCATAAAAACCTCCCTGATAATTGGTCCCTTCCTTTGCCACCTGTTGGTTTACATTGCTTCATAATTCTCCAGGCAAACACTGCAATATAAGTCTATGTTCAAAACCATAAAAGGAAGGGAGAAGGAAACATGTGTGTTTCACTCCTTTGTCAAATTTCCTACAAGAGAAATTTCCCTTAAGAGTTTCTTGACATATTGATTTTGCTTGTTTCTTGTAGTTTCTTGAGATGTTCCAAATTTTTAATGGAAAAGAGTCAAGAATGTAAGCAGAAATGGTGAACTTAAATTTTATCTGTTTCTCTGCAGACAAGTAAAGGAAATAAAATCAATTTAAACATCTTTGTATGGACTTGATTCACAGCTGAAAGTCTAAGGACCTTATAAACAGACTAGCTGGAAGCTTGGGAGAATGAAGTTAATTATTCATTTAGATAGACTAGATCAGGAAAGAAAGGAAGGAAGAAAGAGAGACAAAACCAAAGTTCAAAGTCAATCTGTTGATAGTTTTTAAAGATTTCATAATTTTAATATCTAAAAAGGTGAGTTTTAACATTTTGAGTTGTAATCTCTCTGCTTTTGTTTTATCCCACAGCAGAGAAATAATTAACAGCCACACAGATTTAGATATGCAAAATTATTTATGTAGAAATGTGCCATTGACTATGCTGGGTACTTACCTGATGACCCAGTAATGTCCATTGCCTTCAGATTTCTGCACTTGATCACTGTCAAAGTCATACGCCCAGCGGTTGGCAAATAGCAAAGGGAAAACATGATTTCGCCCAGGTCTATGCTTTCCTAGATTGGCAATTGGTAATGTTAGCAATTTCAAACAATAAACAGTGAAAGCAAAATGAAATGGAAGAGAAGTGTAAAAAATTCACATTATTAGAATACTGTAAAAATTTAAATAATGTCACTGAGGATTCGGATTGTAACAAGGTTTTTATGAATGTAGTTAGTAAAAAGAGTATATCCCAGTGCCCACTTACCATCTGTAAATATCAGACAGAACCAGACTGCCGATTCCACCTGCTAACCACCTTAGTCTTAAATTTGTCACAAGGAACAAATGACAGTATGATTTACTCAGAGGCTGAAGCCAAACCTAGTAGACACCTACTAGGAAATGAGTCATTTCCTCCTACCTTTGTATCTAGCCAAGCCAGAGCAGGTCTTCTCTACACTATTGACAAAATATATCATCTATTACTGACTCTTTTGGGATTTAATGTTACTATTCAAGCCACTATCTTCCACCAGCATTGAATGGTGTCTAAAACTCATCTCTCACTCCATAAATTAAGGTTTACATATCAAAGTGGTCATTTATAAAATGAAAAGCAAATTTTACACACACACACACACACACAGAGAGAGAGAGAGAGAGGGGGGGGAGCAGGGAGATGGAATGAATATAAGCTCCAATGTGGTGCCTGGAAAGTTCTTGATTCACAGCTCCCTTAGTGTGACTGTCAAGAGCTTCCTTTCTGTGTGTCTTCCATTAGATAACACACTGGAAAGCCCTATATGTAAACTCACATTGATTGGATCCTACCACTCTACTTCATCTCTAATGTACCAACCTAGTCCTGTTAAAAGCACTGTGGCCTCTTTCCCACAAATCAAGTGGCACTTACCTCTGCTTTTGAAGGTGCTGCTTGTTGGAATTTAACCATCTCTTCTGTTCAGTTGTTTGGCTTTTTTCTTTTATTCCTGTCTGTGTCTCTGTGTCTGTCTGTGTTAAAGGTTAATTGCAAAGTTCTCCCTTCCCTGGTCATGCTTATTCCATCCCCCTCACCCCTTTAAATGGGAGTATTTCCTTGATCTTTTTCTCAGCATGTTTCTTACTGGTATATAGGAAGTCGTCTATTAACCTGTCTATTAGTTTGTATCCTGCCACTTTCCTGAAAGCATTTAGCTTTCTCAGAGCCTTCAAGGTCTCATGTCAGAATTACAGCATCTGTAACCAAGAATACTTGGCATTCTTCTCTTCCTGTTTATCTCTTTCTCTTGTTTTACTTCCTACTAAGATCTAAGGCTTTCAAGCATAATATTGAATAGGAGAAAAAGTTGATGGCCTTGTCTTGTTTCTGATTTAGTGGAAATGCTTGGAGATTTTTTTCCCTGCTTAGTACAATGGTGGCTACAGGTTTGTGGAAACACAAAAGATCCCAGATAATGAAAGCAATTTGGAGCAAAAAGAATAATTCAGCAGGTAAACAATGCTGATTTTAAGTTATGCTATAAGCCATATCAACAAAACAAACACAGCACTGGCACAAACACAGAGTGAGATCAGTGAGTAGAATAAAGGACCCAGATAAAAACCCACAGCAACAGCCACATGATGTCAATGATACACAGTGGAAAAGAAGATAGCTCTTTAACTAATGGTGCTGAGAAAAAATTGGATATGCACATACAAAAGAATCAAATAAATCCCTATTTCTTATCCTGTATGTGACCAAATCTAAACAGATCAAAGACTGCAAACTTGGAAACTGTTAGAGAAAACAGTGGGGAAAACATTTCAAGATATTAGCATTGGGACAATTTTTGGAATAGAGATCTTGTCACTGGGGAAATAAGAATAAAAGTGGACAAATAAGACCTCATCAGATTAAAACCCTTCAGCACAGCAAAGGAAACAATCGAGTGAAGAGACAACATGTAAGGATGTAAGAAATCTATGCTATTTGCATATCAGATGGGGGATTAATATCTAGAATATACAAATAATGCAAAAGCTAAATAATAAAACAGCTTAATCAGCGATTAGGCTAGTAAAACAAGCAGATAGCTCCCAAAAAATAAATGGTCAGTATATATATGAAAATATGCTCAACTTCACAAGCCATCAGAGAAATGCAAATCAAAGGCCAAGAAGATAGTGCAGTGGTAAAGCACTTGCCAGAAAAGCATAAGATTTTGCGTTCAGATCCATAGAACCATGGAAAGCTGGGTCTAATGGTGTGCATTTGTCATTTTAGTCCTCTGACAATGACAAGAGGTGAATACAGAGCAGAACACCTGGGAATTTACAGGCTACCTATTCTATACACAGGTGTAAATAAGTGACCTTGTCTCAAGGTGGAAGGCAGACCACCACCTAAGGTTGCCCTCTGATCTTCACACATGCACCACGGCACATGGGATCACACACACACACACACACACACACACACACACACACACACACACACACACACACACTACCTTGATTCTCTGTTTCTCCCCAGCCAATGTTGCCAATGACATAGAGAAATTAGAAGCCTTACTTAATACTGGTGGGGATATAAACTAGTCCAGTCACTATGGCAACCACTATAGTGGTTTTTCATAAAATTAAATACAGACCTACCAGTGACCCAGAGGCACTACTCCTGGGTATTTACCCTAAACTCTAAGTCAACATATCACAGAGACACTGCACATCAATGTATACTTCAGCACTGTTCACAATAGCTGACATATGGAACTAATGCAGGTGTCCAACAACAGAGGAATGTATAAAGAAAATGTAGGACATATGCACAGTGGAATTTTTTTTTGCCATAAAGACAAACAAAGTTATGTTATGTGTAGGAAAGTAGAGACAACTGAATATAATCATATCAAGCAAATTAAGCCACTGTCAGAAAGACAGATACATGTTTTCTCTCATACATGGTTGCTATATTTTATAAGATATATAAAGCATGACCACACACACACACACACACACACACACACTTTCAATTAGAGAAATATTTTGTTGCCAACTGGTCGAGAGCCACAAGCATTATAAACATTGAGTGAGATAATTTAAATAGAGCATAAGGAATTCAACATATTCAGCATATGACAGGGGTTGTTGTTATCTTCATCGGTATACTTTGGCAGCGAATAGTACATTATCGCCTATATAATCGATGTAGTGTATCTAAAACTTGCAGCCAACATCATGCTATGTGGAGAAAACTTCAAAACATTCCCACTAAGATCAGAAATAAGAATGTATATGCTCTTCATTCCTACTCAATATATGCTTGAAGTTTTATCTGGAACAATTTTATGAAGGAGGAAATAAAAGGGATATAAATAAGAAGAGAAGTCAAAGTACTCCCATTTGTAGACAACATGATTTTATACACAAGAGACCCTAAGGATTTTATCAAAAAGCTCTGAAAACTAAAAATATCTTCAGAAAAGGAAGAATACAAAATAAACACACAAAAACCAGTAGCTTTCCTTTATATTAATGATGAATACATTGAAAAAGAAATCAGTGAGACATTCTTACTCAAAGTAGCCACTAAAACAATTAAACACTTGGGGATAAAGACTTCCTGTTGTGGGATGATCTTTTTGTACATTGTAAAGACATGTTTGCCTAAAGCACCTTCTGATTGGTTTAATAAAAAGCTGAATAGTTTGGCAGGAGAGGGTAGGTGGGACTTCCAGGCAGAGGGAGGAACTGGGAGGAGGAACCTTGGTACACAGAATTTGCCAGCAGATTCATAGCAAGTTGGATGTATTGTACTGAGGAAAGGTGAAAAGCCATGTGGATTAAGAATGTAGATTAAAAAATATGGGCTAGTTAAGTTACAAGATCTAGTTGGAAATAAGTCCAAGTTTTCATAATTAATAATAAGTCTCTGTGTCATTATTTGTGGGCTAGTGGTTCAAAAAAATGTGTGATGAAAAAGCTTTCTATAGCTTCTATAACAAAACTTTAAGACACTGAAGAAAGAAATTGGGGAAGACACTAAGAAGTGGAAAATCCTTCCTTAATAATGTGTGGGAAGAATCAAAACAGTGAAAATGGCCATTCTACCAAAAGTAATCTATATATTCAAAGAAATCACAATCAAGATTCCAGGGATATACTACACACACGCGCGCGCACACACACACACACACACACACACACACACACACACACACACACCTTAATATATGTATGGATGTAGGCAAAAAAAAAAAAAAGATAGCAAAAGTAATCATTTGCAAAAGTAATGTTGCAGGAGGCATCACTATACTGATTTTAAGTAACAATCACAGAACCCCAGTAATAAAAGCAGCATGACACTGGTACAAAAATTTACACATAGGTCAATGAAATAGATGAGAGGAACCAGGTATATGTACAAATAATTGTGGCTGATTTTTTTAAACAAAGAATTCAAAATTATACATTACAGGACAGATACCATCTTCAATGAATGGTGTTAGCAACCTGGGAATTAACATATAGAAGAATGACACTGCAATCATATTATCTTGCCCTGCACAAAACTTAATTCTGTAAATGAATTAAAGATCTTATAAAATCCAGATACCTCAGAACTGTTAAAGTTAAAGTAAGGAGAACAATATATATATATATATATATATATATATATATATATATATTGTTCAAAGTGGGCTCCTAACCCCCACAAATGGCAGGGGCCACTGGCAATGTCTGAAATGACAGTCTAGGTTCAGCTTAGACTGGACTATAATCGGGTAAACAGAAGGATTGCTGCCTAAACAAGCATGCCTTCCAAACTTTGACAAGTGGGTTTCTATTTGTCAGGAAAAGTCATTATTTGCTTTATCTGTCCCCAACAGCCAAATACCCCTAGAATGGGCATCTAATTCCCTTTTAACTCAAAGCCTTCAACAGATCAAACCCTGCTATTTCCCAGGCTGTTCCAGCTAACTTGCCTACCTCCTTCTGCAACAGAACCCCTTATAACTGTCAAGAATCTCACCAACATTTTCTATTTTCTCTGAATCCCAAGAGATAGCCCTGGCAGTATGATTAAAAA